CCCATTTACAATTGCACCCAAAAGCATAAGATACCTAGGAATAAACCTAACCAAAGATGTAAAGGATCTATACCCTAAAAACCTTAGAACACTTCTGAAAGAAATTGAGGAAGACACAAAGAGATGGAAAAATATTCCATGCTCGTGGATTGGCAGAATTAATATTGTGAAAATGTCAATGTTACCCAGGGCAATTTACACGCTTAATGCAATCCCTATCAAAATACCATGGACTTTCTTCAGAGACTTAGAACAAATTATTTTAAGATTTGTGTGGAATCAGAAAAGACCCCGAACAGCCAGGGGAATTTTAAAAAGAAAACCATATCTGGGGGCATCACAATGCCAGATTTCAGGTTGTACTACAAAGCTGTGGTCATCAAGACAGTGTGTACTGGCACAAAAACAGACACATAGATCAATGGAACAGAATAGAGAACCCAGAAGTGTACCCTCAACTTTATGGTCAACTAATATTCAATAAAGGAGGAAAGACTATCCATTGGAAGAAAGACAGTCTCTTCAATAAATGGTGCACCATACACAAAGATAAACTCAAAATGGATGAAAGATCTAAATGTGAGACAAGATTCCATCAAAATCCTAGAGGAGAACACACGCAACACCCTTTTTTTTTTTAATTTATGATAGTCACAGAGAGAGGCAGAGACATAGGCAGAGGGAGTAGCAGGCTCCATGCACCGGGAGCCCGACGTGGGATTCGATCCTGGGTCTCCGGGATCGCGCCCTGGGCCAAAGGCAGGCGCCAAACCACTGCGCCACCCAGGTGTCCCGCAACACCCTTTTTGAACTTGGCCACAGCAACTTCTTGCAAGATACATCCATGAAGGCAAAAGAAACAAAAGCAAAAATGAACTATTGGGACTTCATCAAGATAAGAAGCTTTTGCACAGCAAAGGATACAGTCAACAAAACTCAAAGACAGCCTACAGAATGGGAGAAGATATTTAAATGATGTATCAGATAAAGGGCTAGTTTCCAAGATCAATGAAGAATTTATCAAACTCAACGCCAAAGAAACAAACAATCCAATCCTGAAATGGGCAAAAGACATGAAGAGAAATCTCACAGAGGAAGACATAGACATGGCCAACAGGCACCTGAGAAAATGCTCTGCATCACTTGCCATCAGGGAAATACAAATCAAAACCACAATGAGATACCACCTCATACCAGTGAGAATGGGGAAAATTAACAAGGCAGGAAACCACAAATGTTGGAGAGGATGCAGAGAAAGGGGAACCCTATTGCACTATTGGTGGGATTGTGAACTGGTGCAGCCACTCTGGCAAACTGTGTGGAGGTTCCTCAAAGAGTTAAAAATAGATCTGCCCTATGACCCAGCAATTGTACTGTTAGAGTTTACCCCAAAGATACAGATGCAGTGAAATGGCAGGACACCTGCACCCCGATGTTTCTAGCAGCAATGTCCACAATAGCCAAACTGCAGAAGGAGCCTCGGTGTCCATCGAAAGATGAATGGATAAAGAAGATGTGGTCTATGTATACAATGGAATATTACTCAGCCATTAGAAAAGACAAATACCCACCATTTGCTTCAAGGTGGATGGAACTGGAGGGTATTATGCCGAGTGACGTAAGTCAATCGGAGAAGGACAAACATTATATGTTCTCATTCATTTGTGGAATATAAATAATAGTGAAAGGGAATATGAGAGAAGGGAGAAGAAATGTGTGGGAAATATCAGAAAGGGAGACAGAACATGAGAGACTCCTAACTCTGGGAAACGAACTAGGGGTGGTGGAAGGGGAGGAGGGCGGGTGGTGAATGGGTGACGGGAACTGAGGGGGGCACTTGATCGGATGAGCACTCGGTGTATTCTGTATGTTGGCAAATTGAACACCAATAAAAATAAATTTATCAAAAAAAAACAAGTATAGATTAAGTTTCACTACAGTATAGTCCTTACAGTGTGGACTCTTGTAAAAGTGAAAAGACAATCGATATAGGATTCTCAGCTCAGTGTATGAAGCCTAAAAAGATCTAAATATCTCATAATTAAGAAACTTTAGAATCATACGTGATATATATTTTATTCATTCTTTACACATTATTTAATAAAACCATTTCTACTCCAAGGTCATAAACACATTTTCCTATATTTTTTTTCTAATAATGTTATGTTTTTCCAATCAGTGTTTTAATCTGCCATGAAATTTTTTGTGGGGGGGATATAGTAGAGGTATATTTTTTTAGTGTTCAATAATTTGTCAGTTGGGTAGAACACCTGGTGCTCAACAAACTTTTTAAAATGGAGCACTAAATGGAAGCTCTGAATTTGTGTTATAAGCATGAATTACCTAATTGATTTGTCAGAAGCATCACAAAGACCAGGGCACAGTATCCATATGGTTATAGCAAATTAAGGTACCTCTCTCTCTTCTTAAAGAGAGAAACAGCAATTTTCTAGAGCTATCAGGAGATCTTCTCTGCCATAAGACAGTACTTTGGGGGTCCATCAGACCTGATTAAACAGGTTCCTCGGTCTTAGATTTGAAGAAAACATGAACTCAAAATTGGAATAAGATGCAAGGTGATTACAGCTCTAGAAGGCAGGCAAGATCATGGAGAAGTAACAAAAACCGAATTCATCTGACTTCTAATCTAGTCTCCTGGGAACAGAGGATTGGCAGGAAAAAATTTCTTTCTGTCCAGACCAGTGGCCCATGGGGAAATAATATGCTCTGAGGTGGGAGTAACAATGGAAACAGTGCCTAATGAGCAGACAGACACAGGGAGCTGTAAATGCCTCCTACACTGCAGTCCCTTACTGTGACGCATCCTTGTGCAGGACAGGACATGGTTGTTCCTTTGGAGTTCCTAGGTCTGACTGGGGACCCTCGCTTCACTGCTTCCTGCTGTCCTGTCTGGGAACAGAGCTCCTGTCTCTCATCAACCAGGGAGGAATTGGGACCTCCACACAGGGACTTTCACCTTATAGACCCCACCCAGGTGAGTCTGAGAGCTCAGCAGGTATTTCAGGAAAGGATCAGAGAGAAGGAACCTGGGACCCTTTACCTGACTTCACCTGAGAGTCTAACCAGCCTATCCCAGAGCCATGAGATTGCATGTTTGTTTACCGTGTTGACTATCAATCTAAAAATATTACTCAGCCATTAGAAACGACAGATACCCACCATTTGCTTCAACATGGTTGGAACTAGAGGGCATTATGCTGAGTGAAGTAAGTCAATCGGAGAAGGACACACATTATATGGTCTCATTCATTCGGGGAATATAGAAGATAGTGAAAGGGAATAAAGGGGAAAAGAGAGAAAATGAGTGAAATTATCAGTGAGGGTGGCAAAACATGAGAGACTCCTAACTCTGTGAAACGAACAAGGGGTGGTGGAAAGGGAGGTGTGCGGGGGGGGGGTTGGGGTGGTGGTGAGGGGCACTGATGGGAGCACTTGATGGGATGAGCACTGGGTGATATGCTATATGTTAGCAAATCGAACTCCAATTAAAAAACACAAAAAATATAAATAATTCACCTGATATGTTTTAAAAAGAAGTGCTAGTTGGACTCAGCAATAGAGGAATCACTTGATATGTAGTGGGAATGGGAATCCAGTTGAATGAGACAGAGAAAGGAATGGGGAACTTAGTGGTCTTAGTGAAATTAGAACATATTCAAGGAGTTTTACAGCTAAGGGGAGTAGGAAAACAGTATTAGGCTTGGAGGTGAGCCGTGGAGTGAGAGCATTTTTAAAAATTTTTCAGGTAGGGTGCGTTTAGCTTGTTTTGTGTTTATTAGAAGGATCCAGGTCCATAGAGGTAAATATTACCTTATGACGGCATTTTTTAAGACATATATTTCACAGTACTGTCTCACCCATTGTATTCACTGTGGAAAAAATGTGCCTAATATGCATGAAAAAATATGCCAAGAAGTATCACTTTGCAACTATTTTATTACCAAGAAGGCTGAGTATATTTTTTAATAAATTTATGTTTTATTGGTGTTCAATTTGCCAACATATAGTATAACACCCAGTGCTCATCCCGTATGCTGAGTGAATATATTTTTGACTTTGTTAGCTATTTACTTCAGATGTGAAAATTCTTACTGCAAGCATATTGCTTTCATGTACTGGGGTCTGTGTGCTTTTATTGAGTTTTGATCCCATTCTTTCAAGAAAAGAATGGCAATTTTTTTTCACCAACTTTGCTGTTTGCCACTTAATCCTTGTATATAGTAGATGTATTTATGGGACCCAGTGAGAGCCTACATATTTTGAGTGGTTGAATCTATCAGTTTGTAACATCCTCATTCCTTTTAAACATGAATTTCTTCCTCATCCTTAGTAGTAAGCATTGCTTTTACACATATTTCCATCTTATTTCATGTCTAATTTTCCTTATTTCTACCATTTTATATCTTGGAATTAGATTTGTTTTTTTAAATAGCAATCACCTCCTGTCATTATGTGAATCATATTCTTCTGTATTCAACTAAAGATCCTTGCATCTTTTTACTAAGCATTAAAGAATCCATTTATGGTTACATATGCCCAAATTATAACTTGGGATACTGCTTCCTGCACTGTATATTAAAAAGTATATTTTCTTATTCTTCTATTTCCAAGCTTTTCACCATTTCATCTTGAATTACAGGCCCATGTTGACGTCATTGTTGCCATTGTCTATCTTTTCTGTAAGATGTTAGTATTAGACTATTGTCCAGTTTTGTTCAAGACAGTTATTGGAAACCACCATATTTAACATGATTTTATTTTCCCTACCATTCTTTCTATTTAATGAATGCCCATTTTTTTTAAATACTTGTTTCTATACAAATGCACACCTTTATGAACACAAAGAGGTGAACAAAGCAGGTGAGGCTGCTGCTCCCTGGATCATACATTAAAATGGAGAACAGGGCAATAAATGCTCATATGACACAAGGTCTTCAACCATAAGTCATATACAGAAAGGGGATAGATTGTCATGGAACATGCCAGATTTTGCAGAGTATGGTTTGAGAAGGTTTCTGCATGGCAGACAAGGAAAGGAGAACCAAGACAGGTGAGTACTCATTTGATGTATCAAAGATCAAACCCAAAGCCCAAGATAAAAAAAAAGGAACAAATGCCACCAAGGAAAGTAAAAGAAGCCAGCCTTATCTACTCTTGTCCACACAAAAACCAGTGTGGTCAAATAAACAGGGCATAGGGACAGGAGTAACAATTAGATCAGGGTCCTGAGGTGGACCCTATGATGAGACCAGTGGAGCAATCAGTGTGGGCTTCCTAGAGTCTGACGTCACATCAGCACCCACGTTGACTGCCTTTTCCCTTTGCAATCTGGTCTTCTGATGGACTCTACATTCATACTGTTTTCCCCATATTAGCAGGCACTGTCTTTCTATTAAAATCATTTTTTCCTTTACTGTGTTGGATCCCAGTTTTTTTTAACCATCCACAGTGAATATGCCTTTTACATTATGATCAAGCATGTATGTACATGCAAACGCACAAATCCATATATATGTACACACACATACAAACATGACTGAAGAACAATCATTCATGTACTTAAAGGAAGGAACCATGCTCAACTTTTTATATATATGAACTCAATCAGTCAACTACCTTAGAAGGATAAATACCACCACCCCACTATTCTAAATAAATAGGTTGTCTTCCCAAATCCAAACAGCTAATGTGTAGTAGATCCAAAGTTCAAAAATCATTCCGTTTCCAAAATTTTGCATTTAATATAATTTTGAAAAGTCTTCTACTATTTCATCTTGATAAATATCCACTATTTTGGTACATTGCATATTTTCTTGGGTCATTTGTGGATTTATTCCTTTTACTCATATTTCTTTTTTAAGATTTTATTTTTTTTTTTGACACAGAGAGAGAGACAGAGAAAGAGTACACAAGTAGATAGAGCTGCAGGCAGAGGGAAAGGGAGAAGCAGCCTCCCTACAGAGCAGACAGCCCAATGTGGGGCTCAATTCCAGAACTCTGGGATCATGACCCAAGCTGAAAGCAGACACTTAACTGTATGAGCCACCCAAGTGTCCCCCTTTTACTCATATTTCTAGAAGATGTTCGTACAGTACGGTGTCTTAACACAATAAATATGTCACTCTTTCCTCTTCTGGAGAAATTACTTTTTGCATCTTTATTAGTTATTCTGTGCATCAAGGGGATATACCTAGGGTTGGAATGCAGCCAGAACCAGGGAAACTTTTTCATCACCATGATGTCTTAGGGACCTCCCAGGGACTAATACCATTTCTTTCCTAAATATTGTAGCTGGGGCTGAGAAGAGCTTGGTAGTCACATAGCCCAAGGAGTCTATAGTGCACAATATAGGACCCTTAAAATACAGACTCCAGGGTCTTAACCAATACTTGGTAATACAGAAAGGATCCTTTTTTATTGACAGGATTCCTTAGAAACAAATTACTGAAGTGCAAGAAACACTATGTGAATGAAGGACTCCCTGTATCTTGAAATCTCAGCTACAGTGGGGAGGCAACCTTATTCCTCAACATTCACTGACAACATCTCTCATCACTCTCCCTCTTGTTCCATCTCCTGACCACACTGGCTCCATTTTGAGTCCTAGATATCTGAAACAGGTGACTTCCTCATGGCCTTTGCACTGGTTCTTTCTCTTACAAGGCACAACCATCCCCAGGTAATCTCGTGTCTCCCATGCAGACTTCCTGTGGTCTCTCCTCAAGTGTCACCTTGTTTTAGGTCCCTTTGAGCTCCCAGTAAAGAGAACATCCCATCCACTTTTTTATGCCTTCTTCCCCCTCCCCATATAACTTTCCTCATTATAATTATAGCATTTCTGCCATGTTACTAATGCACATTTGTATTAAAATTCATCTTTTTCCCCCTAACTTGTAGTCATCAAGACCACCACATGGGACCAGGAAATGATACACAAATTTCAGGATTTCTTCTTCTGGGATTAACAAACAAACCAGAACTACAGCCCCTCATATTTGGACTTTTCCTCTCCATTTACCTGACTACTCTGTTTGGAAACCTACTCATCATCTTAACTGTCATCTCTGACTCCCACCTCCACACCCCCATGTACCTCTTCCTCTCCAACCTCTCCTTTCTAGACATCTGTGTCACCTCTACCATTGTCCCAAAGATGTTGGTGCATATACAGACACAGAACAATATTATAACTTATACAGGATGCATCAGCCAGATCTTTTTATCCACACTCTTTGCAGGCTGGGATGACTTTCTCTTGGCTGTGATGGCCTATGACCGCTACGTGGCCATCTGTCACCCCCTGCACTACACGGTCATCATGAACCCCCAGCTCTGTGGACTGCTGGTTCTGGTGTCCTGGATCATGAGTGTCCTGAATTCCTTATTACAGAGCTTAATGATATTGAGGCTGTCCTTCTGTAGAGAAGTGGAAATACCCCACTTTTTCTGTGAACTTCATCAGATGATCCAACTTGCCTGTTCTGATACATTTCTTAATGACACGGTGCTATATGTTTCAACTGTGCTGTTGGCTGGTGGTCCCCTTGCTGGGATCCTTTATTCATATTCTAAGATTATTTCCTCCATACATAGAATTTCATCAGCTCAGGGCAAATATAAAGCATTTTCTACCTGTGCATCTCACCTCTCAGTTGTCTCCTTATTTTATTGCACGGTCCTGGGAGTGTACCTTAGCTCTGCTGCTACCCAGAACTCCCAGACAAGTGCAGTGGCCTCGGTGATGTACACAGTGGTCACACCCATGCTGAACCCCTTCATCTACAGCCTGAGGAACAGAGATATAAAGAGGGCTCTGATGAGGTTTTTCAGAAGGACAGCTCTAAAAGGGGCAATTGTCCTGGTAGCAAAGAAATGCCCTTGACTGCAAAGCTCAAAGCCATTTGTTCTGTATGGGTAAATGTTTTTGTGACTTGCCTCTCAGAACCAGCCACCTAGATCTGCATGTACACAGCTGGCTAAGGAATGTTGTTCGTGAGACTCCTGCTATGTGAATAACCTTGCGAGCCTACTTGTGTATTCTATCTGGCCTCCAGGTCAAAACTGACGATTCTGGTCTGGATGCCAAGAGCTTAAATCTTGTCTCACACCCCCTCCTGCTCCAGGCTGGGCTGGACCCCTGAAATGGACTCTGGGCGGGGACACAGACACACAAAGTCCAGGATCACTGAAAATATGGAAACATGATAACATGGAAATGCAGCTTACCCCAAACTGCAAGTAGATAAGCATGCTTAATTTCAAACTCTATCATGTGCTCTATGAATATGGCCCTTATGCAGATGGTCAATTGAAAGTCTCACCTGAGGGGAGGATGCTCTGCCCAGGCCTCTCAATCAGGACTCCAGCCTGGCTATTTCTGCGGGCTTCGCCAGCTGATGAGGCTTGATGCTGTAAGTACTAGGTTTGATGTAACTTACCTTATTATCATTTATTACCTACTATTACTCTCATCTATGTGTAGATTCCTTTCCTCTCCTGTCTCTATTAGGTTTCTATAATGATAACAATAAAGTTTCCTTTCCTTTTCAAAATCAAAACATGGCAGCTATGAATCTTTTGTGTAAAACATGATCCTTTGATCATTGTGAAAATAGAGTCTGCTCTTATGAGTTTCTTGAAATTTCCACTTCTTACAATTCAACTTCTCTAAAGACAATTATCATATGATTTCACTCATATGTGGAATTTAAGCAACAAAACAGAGGAGCATAGGTGAAGGGAGGGAAAAATAAAATAAAACAAAATTGGAAAGGAAGACAAACCATAGGAGAATCCTAACTATAGGAAACAAACTCAGGGTTGCTGGAGGGGAGGTTGGTGGTAGCATAGCGTAACTGGGTGATGGATATTAAGGAGGGCACATGATGTAATGAGCACTGGGTGTTATATGCAACTGATGAATCACTAAATTCTACCCTTAAAAGTAATAATACACTGAATTTTAACTAAATTGAAGTAAAATTGTAAATGGGATTGACTCCTTAGTTTCTCTTTCTTCAGTCTCATTGTTAGTGTATAGAAATACCACTGATTTCTGGGCATTGATTTCGTATCCTGCCACGCTGCCAAATTGCTGTATGAGTTCTGGCAATCTTGGGGTGGAGGCTTTTGGGTTTTCTATGTAGAGTATCATGTCATCGGTGAAGAGGGAGAGTTTGACTTCTTCTTTGCCAATTTGAATGCCTTTAATGTCTTTTTGTTGTCTGATTGCTGAGGCTAGGACTTCTAGTACTATGTTGAATAGCAGTGGTGAGAGTGTACCCAGAAATTGCACTTCTGGGGATTTACCCCAAAGATACAGATGCAATGAAATGGCAGGACACCTGCACCCCAATGTTTATAGCAGCAATGTCCACAATAGCCAAGCTGTGGAAGGAGCCTCAGTGTCCATAGAAAGATGAATTGATAAAGAAGATGTGGTTTATGTATACAATGGAATATTACTCAGCCATTAGAAATGACAAATACTCATCATTTTCTTCCACGTGGATGGAACTGGAGGGTATTATGCTGAGTGAAATAAGTCAATCGGAGAAGGACAAACATTGTATGTTCTCATTCATTTGGGGAATATAAATAATAGTGAAAGGGAATATAAGGGAAGGGAGAAGAAATGGGTAGGAAATATCAGAAAGGGAGACAGAACATGAAGACTCCTAACTCTGGAACCGAACTAAGGGTGGTGGAAGGGGAGGAGGGTGAGGGGTGGAGGTGAATGGGTGACGGGCACGGAGGGGGGCACTTGATGGGTTGAGCACTGGGTGTTATTCTGTATGTTGGCAAATTGAACACCAATAAAAAATAAATTTATTATTAAAAAGTAAATTGAAGTAAAATAAAATAAAATTGAGAAAAAAGAATTCAACTTCTCTGTATAATTTCAGAAAACTCTGTTTACTAAGCTTTCTGCTCTGTCTGATATACACATATTTCCCCTTGGTCCATTTTCATATCTTCCTACAGTTATTCCCAACCGTGGATCAGAGCCTTATGCAGGAGGCTGGATCCCATGACCCAGAGATCGTGACCTTAGACCAAACCAAGAGTCCAACACTTCACCCACATCACCACTCAGTCACCCCATGAACTTAATTTTAATAATGAACCACATTTTTTATCTTAATGTTGAAAGGGCTCAAAGTCATAATTTATATTTAAATCTAAAGTCATAGGGTCCCTGGCTAGCTCAGTCAGTGGAGCATGCAACTCTTAATCTTGGGGTAGTAATTTCAAGCACCACATTGAACATAGAGATTACTTACAAAATAAGTAAGTAAATAAATGAATAAATAAATAAATACACAAATACATAAATAAAATCCCATTTATATTTTAGCAATGGAGAATTCATTTTTTTCCATTCCATTTAAGCAATGGAGCAAAAGCTCCAAATTGAGTTTTTTTCTTCCAGTTAAGGTTGGTCTTCAATACAAATAGCCCTTACCCAAGAGAAAAGAAATGAATTAATTGAGAGACTAAAATTTGCTTTCCTCCAAAACAATTTTATTGGATAAATGTCTATATTACATTCTTATTTCTGCTGTAACAAATTACCACACTAGAGGCTTCAAAGAAGCAAATTTATATATTCTTACTGTTTTGGAGGTCAGAAGCTGAAATAAGTCTCAGCGGACTAAAATCAAGATGTCTACTGGGACTGATTCCTTCTGGGTGCTCCAAAAGAAACTCTTATTTCTTTCCTATTGCATTTTCTAGTGACAAGCAGCATTCCTTGACTCATTGCCCTTTCTCTGTCTTCAAAGCCAGCAATGTGGCATCATCAAATCTCTCTCTGATCCAACTATTCTGCTTTCTTCTCCCACATTCAGAGGACCATGATGATTAGGTTAGTTCCATCTGCATGATTTTGGCCAATCTTACTTTAAGGTTAGCTTATTAGCAGCCCTATTCCATTTGCTACTTTAATTCTCCTTTTCCAAAAAATAATAATAATAATTCTCCTTTTCCTATAAAGAATAACATATTCAAGGATTCTAAGGATTAGAATGTGGACAACTTCAGGAGATTCTTATTCTGACTATTAAAAATCTTCTCCAGGGTGCCAGGCAGCCCAGTCAGTTAAGCATATGACTCTTGATTTAGGCTCAGGTCATGATCTAAGTAAGTATCCTGAGATTTAGCTCTGCATCAGGCATTACACTGGGTATGGAGCCTGATTAAGATTGTCTCTCTCCCTCTCTGTCCCTCTTCCTGGCTCCCACAAGATGTCTTTCTATATAGTTAAAAAAAAAGTCTTTTTCAACGGTATTTTATTGGATGTCACTCAAGGGTCCTTATGTAAAAGAAACAAACACAGAATTTCTTGCAGCCCCTAGAGTGACTGAAAATACACTAGTCATTCAAAATTCTATGCAAACATGATTCATGTGTATGTGAAGAAGACCTACACCCACCTGCACCTTACTCTATCACAGGACCACAGCCTTGCTACTGAAAGAGTTGTCCACAGACTACCACCGGCAGCAACAACATCAGTCAGGAGCTGGTTAGAAACACTGAACTCCTGGACCCACCAGCACCTGCTAAAGGTGCTGTATTTAAACTAGTATCCAGGGCACCTAGGTGGCTCAGTGGTTGAGTGTCTGCCTTTGTCTCAAGTTGTGATCCCAAGGTCCTGGGATCAAGTCCCACATCAAGCTTCCCATGGGGAGCCTGTTTCTCCCTCTGCCTGTGTCTCTGCCTCTCTGCAGCTCTCATTAAAATAAATTCTTTTAAAAAATAAACTAGACTCATAGGTGATTCCTATGCACTTTGAGGTTAAGGGAGTACTGGTTTAGACTACCTTTCCTCATGTTCTCAATTTTACCTTTGAGGCAGGGTCATTGTGTGTGTTGAGAGCTGTCCTGCTTATTGGAGACATTAAGAAGCATCCCTCAGAATTGCCAGATTCTGGCATCCCTCAGACATTGCCAGATATGCCCAGGGGAAAAGAACCACCTCTGGTTGGGACCACTGGCACAGAGTTTGAAAAGTGGTAGCAGCTAACAGAATACAATCCATACCCATCCCTTTCTGCAATGATAACTTTGAGAAGATCACTAAATTCTTCAAGCCATGGAGACATCCGTGGGAAACAGAGTTCACACCAATGCTTCCTCACAGAATGGGCTTTTATAAAAATTAAATCAGGCAACACCTATAAAGTGCAAAATTTGGATTGAAGTGCATAAAATACCTCAATATAGCTCTTAAAATTAACAAACATTTTATAATGACATTTTAAGCCATAGCTCTGAACTTGTGATAAAAGTATGAAATTCCTAATAGTTTTAGCAAAATTGTCATGAATCCAAGGAGTGAGGAGCCCAGGTTTTATATTAAAGACACACACTTATCATTTGAAAGGGGAAATGTAACTTGCTAGAGATATCAGGGATTGGGTCTCCACCACAAGTCAAAGCTTTGAAGGACCCAAGCATTCTAGTCAAGATTGACTCCTCAGTTTTAAACAGGAGAAAATGTCCACTCAGGAGTGGGATAAGGTGCTAGGGATTTAGTTCACTGAAAGACAGAAGTCATAGAAAAAGAGTAAGAAACACTGATTCCACCTGTCTTATCACCTGGTCTCCTAGGAACAGAAATTCAACAGGAAAAGTTTTCTTTCTGTCCACACTAGTGTCCCATAGGGAAATCATGTGCCTAATGGCAAGAGGAATAGGAGGGAAATGTGATTAATGAGCAGATCGAAGCAGGTGTAAATACCTCCTCCGCTGCAGTCCCACAGCTCAGGCAACCTCGGGATGGATAAGACCTGGTCATTTCTTGTGCAGTCCTAAGTCTGGATGGGACACTGACATTTGACCCATTGTTGCTCTCTTGTCTGGGGACACGGCTTCATCC